GAGCAGCTGCTCGACTGACGTGACACTCGATGGGTGAGTTTCCTCCCAAATTGCAGACCGGTTGAGCGCAATAAGGACTTTTATACGTTCATTTTGCATTTGCTATTGTGCGGTTTGTCGATGAAAAAAACGTCAGACATCCGTGGGCGTCAATAGACCTTTATTTTGATTTCTTTGCTCCTTCGATAAATGTCGAGGTAAGCTCTTTGCAGGGTCCGAATAATTATCAAAATGTAATGAATGCAATGGGGAAAAAATGGTGCGTTGAATCAACTGAATTTTATTTTGTCAAGTGGCTGCACATAATAGAATCATCTGGATTTACATGCATATTATTTATGAAGTGTATCTGGTTGCAGATGATTTTATTTTGTGCAACTGCTTGATGAAATAAAATTGAGTAAATTTCAACATGCCTTGATTTAATTTTTTTTTTTTTGTGTGACTGTTTTGCTCCTCATTGTTTGCCCGTGTCACCTTTTCTTGTGAACAATGTCTTCTGGTGTTTGGCCTTGCAATTATGTTCTTCCCACTTCTTGTCAAGCTCAGTGTCAAATTTGGGGTTTTACTCACTGACTACTCACCATAGTCTCGTCGTCAGAAGCTCGTTGTTTTTGTTGTAAGGAGTGTGCATCATCTCAACAACTTCACTGAGCAATGACAACTTTTCAAACGCTAAAGATGCGACCTGACGCTGATCTTCCCATAGTCTCGTCGTCAGAAGCTCGTTGTTTTTGTTCTAAGGAGTGTGCATCATCTGAGGTACCGTCTCGAGAACTTCACTGAGCAATGACAACTTTTCAAACGCAAAAGATGTCAGCTGACGCTGATCTTTGCATCAAACAAAACTCAATGCAGCTCTGCTTACCTCTTGGCTTTGACATGATTGTTATTCACCCTTTTGCAGTTAGGCTGAAAATGAAACCACCAAGCTGTACAGTATATCCAAACTCAGCCACACACATACACACCGAGAGGGAAATTAGCCTGAAATGTGTTTTCACAAGCTTAGACGAGACAGATGTGTGACCACACCGGGCAACCAAGGTTGCCACACCAGGTGTCTTCATACGAGACATCGTCTGAAACGGGCCACCCAGACTCATACCCAAACAGTTGAGTGCACAGATGAGTTCCTCCGAATCTATCTCAGGGACGTTCACCTGAGTTTTTCTCTGCATTTTGTTACATTCTAAGTCAAGACAAATAAAAGTAGACAGTGAGTTGGTGCGAACGGCAAGTGGTTTACTGATGACAATGTTGTGAGAAAAATGTCTTTTGTGGGACAGTGGTAGAGAGAAGCAAACAATAATTCCCGGAAGGTGGCCCACATTCTCACCAGAGGTATCATCCATTTAGCCGCATGTGCGGTTAACGGTGGAAATGCCACCGACCGGATATCCAGACTCATCTCTTAATTGAAGCTACATTTGCGACATCCCACCCGGTCTGTTTTAATATAGCTTTTCCGATAGTTCTTTCTGAAATATAATAATCAGCATCCTAATGATAATCGTAATATGTGGCATGAACACTGTTATGCTTTGTCACGTAAGTCTACGGATGAAATGAACGAACAGAAGCGCTGCGGTTTATGAGCGTCACAATTGGCGGCATTGAAAAGTGTTTATTAGATGCCTCACAAAGAAAGAAAGTCATGTCCGACAACTTAGGGTGACAGTCTACTTTCAACGAGACTGAAAGTCACGAAATGAAAAAAATACAAATAAAGTCGTAATCTTGAAAGCAGGTTGACACGGAAGGATTTCAGTTGAATTGATGACGGTGACGCCGTCTGCCCGTGTTGCTAGCGGGCAGACAAAATGTTTTGCGGTTTGAGACTAAAGTGGATGTGTCACTGACTGTAACAGGAAGCATTCTCACTCTCAAATGTCGGAGACACACATGTCAGTGTATCCGCTGCTATATGTATTAATATCTACTGTTATCGATTGTATATCGTACCTTTATTGTTATGCCGGCTGTCATTCCATGCAATTAGTTTTTATGGGTGTTTATTTGTTAAATAGAAAGAAAAAAAATATTTCCATAACGCTGGCCTTATTCAGCAGTTGCATTTTTTTTTAATTAACCCAATTCCAGTTCTAGATGAAAACAAGGCATTACCAGTGGTTAATTAACAATGATGTATTTTATGTTTTATTCGAAATGTGTCATTGGCGGTCTCTTGTGTCACTCGCCTGACTTCCGTGCAGGCGGTGTGGGTGCAGTTCCCACGCAGTGACGGTGTGAATGATTAGTTTACAGAAGCCGGAGGATATGGAAATTTATGAGCACAACGGCGTGTTCCCTGTGATTGACTGGCAACCAATCCGGTGCTGTTTTTCAGCCAAAGTATGATGGCTAAGGACTGGTCACTAGCAGGACACATACTGTACATTTACTGTATAGAAAAGCAGCCGGTCATACTCTCATTCACATCTATGGACAATAGAGTCTTCAATTTACGTGCACTGTTTTGATCCACGGCGCTGCCCATAATATTATGCCATTGAATTTGTTTACACTATTTTGTTCTCATTTTCTATTGTATTTTCTATGGTTCGATTGTTCTATTTCACTTAGACTTCCTCCAAACAAAAGTATTTCCCAACTTCAGACTCCAGGCGAGCCGTGATTGGTCGTTACCTGAGCCCTGAGCAGCTGCGATGTCATTTTCAGTCGACAGCAAGTGGCAAAATGACCGCCCTCTGAGAAGGCTAAAAAAATGGGTGGATTTTGCTGCTAAACTCGTATTCCACAAACACAATAGTGGAAACATATTTTCAAGAAAATTTGGAGGTTGACTTCCCCTTTAACAACTCCGTTTGTACTTTGCTGAGTCTTAACACAGGTCTTGTCATTCATACCTGCTTCCTTCAGCCTCTTTTCTCCTGTTAGCTATATTTTAAAATTGGCAGCGTCAGGAAGGAAGTTGGTGAGTACAAAACTCACATCAGACTGAATGTTGTGAGATCTGAAAAAGCTTCACTGAGGTAAGACACGTTCTTGTATGATAGTGAAATCCAAAACAGAACCACCATGAAAGGGTCTGACAGGGTCAAGGTCCCTTGTGGCACACGCGTACTCTGGCCCCACAGTGTACTTCTATGGCCAGTTACCTGAAAGGAACAGCCATTTTCATTGGAAAGTCCCCCCCATCTTTTTTCACTTCCTTTGTGTGCACACGAAGAGCATGTTTGTGCAGAGGTGTGGGTTCTTTCCGTGAACCAATCGCATTGTGGCTGACACAAGGCAGGAAGGAAAACGCTTGGTGCACAGCCAACCAATCACAACGAAACCACTGCAGGAAGTGAGGGACAGACTTTGAAGACTTCAAACCCACTCCGCAGAATTAAGAGAAGACACAACTGATTGACCTTTTCTTCTTACTTTGACCTTCTGTACGTCCTTCTAGCCTTACATTCTCTCAACTGGCCACCATTGGCAACCTGGTCTACTTTTTCTGTCTCTTCTCTCAAAACGGACGCCCCCAACTCTTGCTATGTTCAACGAGACATTCAACCGCCATCAAGCTTCGTGAGGTAAAAACAAACAAACAAACAAACATGCTGCACTGGGATTTGCTACCACCGGCATGTATGTTCCATCTATGAGGAAGTCCACTCTGTGGAGCTCCAAGTCGAGCGCCAGGATGTGTTTTCCAGAACAGCGGGATGTCATGTAAGTGGGGACCTTTCTTTACTACATGCCGTTGCATACTTTTTTTTGCACTCTGAGGTCGAGTTTATATCCAAGGCATATATGTATATAAGTTGTGTACAATATACTGTAAGAAGTCATTTCTTTTTGAAATGGGCGTCGTTTTTGTGGCATCTGTCTTCACCGATGTCAGTTTCTGTGACCAAAAAAGGTGTTTCAGTCAGATGTTGCTTATTTCCTCCTGATACTGTTGTCTGTTTGAGATAAGACTCCATGCCGAGTCGGTTGTTGCTAGGCTAATGGTTTGTGTGAGCAAATGGGCCATTTCCAGGAAGTGTTTTAGATTCGACCCTCTGTCAGCGGGGCGTATGGGCGTGGAATCTTATTTGTCTTCCGGCCTCGTGCTCTTTCTCTTGACCCTCAGAATTTGCTTCGATCTGTATTAGTTTGACTTTTTGGTGTGGCGACAGTTGATGACAGGATTATGAATTCTGCTTTTTCTGATAAATGTTTATATGACAGACCGCACAAGTGCATACCAACTTCAACTTTAGGATTTGTGCTTCCTTTTAGCATTGTGTAATACAAATAAAATGCATGTTTGAAAATAAGGCATTCGACTTGGCAACCTGACTTGAGTGGCCAGATTCTTTTTTTTATTTTTTTGCTGTGGCTAAACTTAAATGGTCATAGCGAAGGCATTATGCTGATTATTAATGCACCACATCCTCTGAGCAGAGGAAGTGACCTCGTCCGACACCTCAGAATGCATTAGGCAAAAAAAAAACAAAAAAAAAACAACAAAACAAAAAACGATAAGAAAATTATGCCTTCATTTTTCAAAATGGAAGTTGCATTGTGATTCAATGAAATGCAACCTAATTTGTCGGGAGAGGAATCAATTGTGTAGATGACTATTAAGATGAAGGACTTTTGGGCCCTTTTTTCATACCCAGTGCAAGTCTAGCGGAAAGCGGTGTCTAACCATGCACGTGGGTGACTGTCTTCGAGGGAGAGTTAACTACATCCCCCCCAAAAAAAAGTGTAAACCACCTCTTGCCCCAATTCGGCAAATGTCGGCATGAGCTCACCAGCAAACGAGGATGAACAGTATAGAAAATGGATGAATGGTTAGTTTCAGTCGAGTTTAGCGTTATTAAGAAGCAGCTGCATGCCGTTGTTGCCAGAAATTCACAATATCTTAATCAGGAAATAGACAACAATGAAATTGTTAGAATGTCGGAAAGCGAGTTACTCCACTGTTAGGTTTTTGTTTGGTTTGCTACCTGCGGTTTCGATTTGCTAAAATTCGATGAAGGGGGGGGGGGGGCGGCAGGAAATCCATTTGATAAACAGAAGGAGAACCCGGACCTCTGCCACAGTAAGATGAGAATGGCGCTGTTCGTACCAGAGAACAAATCACACATATCTTCTGTCTGTCTACTTGCAGTCGCTCCACCCGAATGACGGATCGGCTTTTTTCATCTTTTATCTGCATTCCTTTTCAGCCGCTATGAGATTGCCATGCCGATCATTCCTGAGGCTTGACTCAGTGTTTCACTTTTAGCGCCAAAAGTTGTCAGCGTTTCACACAACCCTTCTATAGTGGTATCACAAAAAAAAAAAAAAAGCAAAACGCAATGATGAGTTTCATCCCTCACATTTGCTAATGTCTCACATGATGTCCACATAGGATGGTTTGAAATATTTATTGATAAAGTTCTGTACAGTGACAGCGACAGGGAGTAGATGGCATCATTCTTAGGCCACAAATCATCATCCGCCATTTAGCCTCCGGGGTCTGCTGATAAACTGGAAGTTACCCGTAAACTCCTTTGAGGATGAAGGGCTGGACTTGCGGTGTTTATTTTAACACGAATGCACTCGCCAGACTCACGCAAACACACTTGCGCACTCACTGACTAAATACGCAGATGGTTGGCGTGTTGAAGCCAAGGCACTATCTCGCTTTAGGTGTGTGAGGGAGGGCACGCATGAGAAAAGTTTTCCAGTAGAGGAGAAATTGAACTATGTCAACCTCAAGAGAGGAAGAGGAAAAGCAAAAGCAGCCGAGTGGATTTCATCTGGGTCAATTCAAAGGTCCTGCCATCGAGCTGCTGCCCAGCGTTGGCGTACAGGCGGTCGCCTCTACTGTCCAAAAAGACAGCGATGCAGTGAAGAGCATCAAAACAAAAGTCGACTTGAGGTAGGCGGCAAACAGAACGGGTCGTCGCTTCTCACGTGCTGCAGAGGAAGGTGTGATATCGTTGCATGTGGCATTCATACCGCGCGGAGAAGCTAGCGCCGATCAGATATTCTGCAGCTGACATTTTACGTTTACATTTACAAAAGTGGCATAAATTATTTTGTGTGTTAGTGCCTTAAAATGTTGGATTTTTAATTATGCGGAGCACTATGTGCATAAAAGTGACTATATAAATCAAGCTACATTACCATGCCCTGAATTGAAAGAAACTTAATGATGTCATGGTTATTGCAGCAAAGGAGGAATTTACTCCATCCGCTTTTTCTTTTCTCTATTTGACTCACCAAAAATGGTACATTGCGTTTGTGTCACACATGGTGATTTGGGTTTGTCGGTTACACTTGTTTTTCATGGAACTGATTTTGTTTGCTCCAGGAGTCAGCAGTCAGCCCAATCTCTGACAAACATTGCCATCTACTGACCACTTTTGTCAGAGCACATATTCCTCACAGCAGGAACTGACGCTCCACCATTTCATTTCTTTTTAGCCTTGAAGCCGAGGGATGGGCTTACTGGCTGCGAAGCTACTTTAAATGTTCCATTGTTTACTATGATTTGTCTTTGTGTCTTCCTTTCGCTTCCTAACTGTGGTTCCCTTTCACTGACATTCTTCCTCGACTTCCCTTTCCTTTTCATGCAGAACCATGTCATCTCTGGAGGTGTGTTGGCCAGTGCCGATGCGAGCCATTGGCGCACAGAACCTCCTCACTATGCCTGGAGGAGTTTCCATCGCAGGATACCTCCACAAGAAGGGATCCAGCCAATTTAGTCTCATGAGATGTGAGTCAATAATCCAATTTCGAGATACAAATGTAGAGATGTTGTGGTTGAAGCGCCAGGAGTCAAAACGAGTCAAATCACCAATTTACTCTCCAATTTACCAAAAACAACAACAGTTGTTGATGGCTCGATCGGTGTTCCTTGCCTTCGTAAGCTAGCAACCAGAGCCACTCCTTCTAAAGAAGCGGGAGTCACTACTCTCCATCCGTCAATTTCCCAAGCGTTGGCATGAAAATCAAGATGTGGCAGCATTTCCGCCATCAACGGAAGTAGAGCCCCATGGGGCATGGTTAGCCCTTGGCGGTATCACAAATCGGTGCTGCATTATCAGCGTCAACGCACCCTATTTTCATTCCCAGTGCAAGGGCCTAACTGCAGGCATGGCTGGAGTTTTCTTTCTTTTGGTATTTTGCTCTACTTTGCACAGGCATCGTTGGGCGTAACGGGGCATTTGCCCCGTTGTGCGTCGTTGTGCGATGTCATTTCCGGTCCAGTCGTAACACCATCCGTCATTTGCGTCAAAATCTGGGCCGTCGGAGCGCAGTATGCCGTACATGACATTGCGATACCAGAAATAGACTCACTGGGGTCCGTTCATGCCATTGGCAGGTAAACTGCAAGTTCTCCCCTTGCGGATGATTTAGTCAGCCGGGCATGTGATGTGGGCAACTGAAGTCTGCCTTAATTGCAACGACGACCTGTAATATCAATAGTTCTGAGTTACACAAAGAGCTCTTGTTGTTAATAAAAAGAGATTTCCAACTGTGCTAATGTCGACCTAAAATTTCTACTTGTGTACCCAAGTGTACGTTATGTGACCAGTGAGTGATTACTTTTTGCTTTTCTTTGCAGGGCCGCTGAGGTATATCATCATCCACAAGGGCTGTGTGTACTACTTTAAAAGTAGTACGTCTCCTGCACCACAGGGAGCATTCTCTCTGAATGGTTACAACAGGTCAGCAGTTTTTTTTTATCCTTATCGAGAGCTGCTCAGATTTGTATCCGTGTTTTTAAAAATGCATTTCGTGCGACGCTATGTTCATCTCCGCCCACAGAGTGATGAGAGCAGCAGAGGAGACAACGTCTAGCAATGTTTTTCCATTTAAGATGATCCACTTCAGTAAAAAACACAGGACGTGGTTTTTCTCTGCAGCGAGTGAAGACGAGAGGCGGGTAGGAACAATCGCACCCACGCGTTGTAGCTTTGTAATACCGTATGAATAGTTGTGATGTTGCGATAAATGAGGTAAACACTCAGACTGCAAATATATATTTTTTGCTGTGATGCAGAGATGGATGCGATCCTTGCGATGGGAGATTGATCATTATAATGACAGAAAAGAGTCGCAGATTCCGAGGTGACCCAATTATATACCCATTCCAATTCTCCAAGACAGAGCCACGATCGTTGTTTCGTTTGCTTTTTGCATCGAATAATTGAGTGAGAGCATTGTCGTTGTCGCCACAGTGACTCCGATTCAGATGCAGACAGTTTCTACGGGACCATCGAGAGGCCTTTGGATATTAAACACCCAATCAATAATGAAGACGCTGGTAAGACGTGCGGAGGAAAATTGATTTCGGATGAATTTGCCACTGAGCTCCTCAACCCTCCTGCAAGTAGAATATGGTGAGGATGATGATGAGGACGACGCTGAGGAAGACTATCTGAAGCCAGACGGTGACGGTTTTCCGGCATGTACAAGTAAGCCAAGTAAGTACAACTCCAAACACGCATGTCCACGTTGGCGTCCGCATGCAATTGTTAAAGCAAGATTTAAAGGGCATATATTTGAATATATGTATGCCTTGCCGTGATTCCCAAAGTTTGAGTGATATCCTGTGGCATTCATCATCACGCTTAGTTTAACTGTCTCTTGACTTTTCCATTTGACAGTAACAGGACCTTCAAGAACAAAATAGCTGCCTAAAACCAATTGAAAATGTTGGTTCTACTTCCACAGGTCGACCCACCGGGCCTCCGCCTTCTTACCCACCTCCTCCCGTTCCGATGATTCCTCAGCGGCATCGAGGATCCTGTGTAGACGTCCACAAGGACCTCCCACCTCCAGTCCCATCCCACAACAGATTCCAAACCAGCGCAAACCTCAGAAAGACTCCGACCTCGATGTCGACTCCCATTCCTAAGGACCCAAACAAAGGTCCGCCCCCACCGCCCCCGTTTACCGCCCAGCTGCACAATCGCCCGTGTCTTATCCCTCCACCGCTTCCTCCACCCAATTCACAGCGGCCCCTTAAAAGTAGGGTGCAGTCTGTGGTTGGGCCGGGGCCCGACAGAAAACACCAGAGGCATTCCTCAGCTGTTTCACTCCAATCCCCCACCAACTTGCCCATCTGCGACCAACTCGAAACCAGAATGCTCATCATGAGTGATTTCGATCATTGTGCTCGCGATGCCGGAAGCCTCCCGGCTCCTGGCAGCAACCACCTCACCAACCACCGCAGCAAGCCAAGCCGACCAGTGACCAATGCTGCAAATTTTGAAGGCCCACCCCCGAAACCTCGAATGACTCAGATACCCTGCGGCTACCCACCGGTACCCTGCCACCCACCTCGATCTCCGCTTCTTCAAACTGGATTGCACAACCAGTGTCCAAAACCTCCCCCAGTCAAGCCTCCACTGCCATTGACCAAGCCCAGGCAGCCAGGCACGCCCCTCCAGTAAGTAAATATTCTTATAAAAAGGATGCTTTGCCGTCTTGTTTCAATGAGAATGTATTTTGGCGATAGCAGTCCTGCTATTTGAAATGTGTCTTCCCACCAGAAGAGCAGCCCCAGAAGGTCAAAGTTTCCGTTTATCAGGAGACAAGACAGCTACGGAGTTGAAGAAGAAACAAGACTTGAGCAAGTGCACTGAAGGCGACGGTTCCGATGAGGATTATGATGATGTAAGAAAGATTGCAAACAAGTTATGATTTATTTCCAATCATGACACTTGAATTACCATGAGAATGAACACAACACTATGTTGGCAACACTTGATGACTATGTCACACCAATTAATGAAGAGCTCATTTAAAATATATTTAACAACCTAATTTTCTTTGCAGATGTATCTGCCAAAATCTGTTTTCATCGACTCGACGGAAACCAGCTTTGTAGAGAAGTATGACACTGATATTTTGAATGATACTTGTGCTATCAGAGTTAGACACATTGTAATATTGATTTAAAAGCCATATATCTTTTCGCTCGTGGGCCAGCCTTTCATTCCTACATGAACGTAAACGTAACGCAAAAGACTTAGCAAGACTGTATTTCTTCATGCTTATTGCTTCCACTGCTAAAACCTGGTGACATTTGCTCCTGTAGATTATTTAAGGAGAGCTCCATCGTGCTGCAAGATGGTCTTTATGGCATCAGGAACTCTGGAACCAAAACATCCAAGGTAAAAAAAAAAAGAAATAAAAAGTTTCCATGTTCTCCCCGTGCTTGCGTGAGTTTTCTCCGGGTACTTGGGTTTCCTCCCACATTCCAAAAACATGCAGGGCACTTTGATTGATCCGCTTACTGCCAGGAGAAAACTGGGCTAGGTTTCAGTATGCCCCATGACCCTTGTGGGGATGAAAGTGGATCAGAAAATGGATGGATGGATAAATATTATGGCCAATGTTTTGCCAACAGTTGATGCTTTGATTTGATTGTGCAACCATGGTAACACCCTAACATCAATGTGTTCAGGTGCTGGTGGTATGGGATATCAGCATAGGCAAAGCCAGAAACTACCGGTTGTTTGAAGAGGTACACATGTTCATATTTGACTATGACATCAGTATAACATTTGAAATTCCACACTGAAACTTCTCACTGTGAAAACGCAGGCCGACCAGGTGTTTCTGGACTGCGACGTGACCTTCCCCACCCTTTCAACCCTGATCGAACACTACTACAGCCATCCTCTTCCTCATCAGGGCTCCCTTTGCCTGCAGAAGCCTTACTCCAAATAAGCATCACTTGAAGCGAAAGGGAGAACTTGCAACGTTAAAATGCCGACGATGGCAAGGAGACAAACCTGCCCTCAATTCAGAATCGAATCGGCACCATCGGGCAAAGCCAGAAACTACCGGTTGTTTGAAGAGGTAGACATGTTTTTATTTGACCATGACATCAGTATAACATTTGAAATTCCACACTGAAAGTTCCCACTGTGTGAAACGCAGGCCGACCAGGTGTTTCTGGACTGCGACGTGACCTTCCCCACCCTTTCAACCCTGATCGAACACTACTACAGCCATCCTCTTCCTCATCAGGGCTCCCTTTGCCTGCAGAAGCCTTACTCCAAATAAGCATCACTTGAAGCGAAAGGGAGAACTTGCAACGTTAAAATGCCGACGATGGCAAGGAGACAAACCTGCCTTGAATTCAGAATCGAATCGTCACCATCAAGAGCTAAATATCGCTCTCCTCACTTGGGGTCACACAACTGGCTGGTCCTCACTCTATATTTATATTTACTGTCCAGTACATGCAAATGTAAATAGGAATGTCATTTTCTACAAAGTAAGAAATTGTAAATAAGATGAAACGGTATAAAACTGGGCCTGCTGTTGTCTTTTCTTTTTTAAACAAGTTGTTGAAATAAAGTAAAAATTATAGTAAACAAGTTGTTGAAATAAAGTCAAAATTATAGCCTAAAAGCCTGCCATGTATTCATCGAGTGACTAATATTTGCTTAAAACACAAAAGAAAAGTGTTAGGTTTGTGACTTCCTCCTCAGGAACAGACACAACCAAAATTGAGCATCAAGTAGCGGGTAGGTTAGCGTTAGGGTGCATCTTGCCTGTAATAAAAGAGAGAGAGAGAGAAAAAATATAAAAACTATTATTAGGCGAGTATGGGTACCTGTTCATCCAAACAAGGTTGGATGTGTGCCACCACACCAGTCGGATGATGTCTCCAGATGATTGCAACCCACTTCAAGTGTCGCTGTCTGTGGTGCTGAAGTGTCGAAAAAAGAAAAATAGGATGACCTGTGTATTTTTTTTTTTATGCTACATTGCACGTCTATTTAGTTTTCCAGACAAACTATGCCCTCTTCACCTTGAAAGGTCTGTTATGTAATCTGACACGACCAGATCCTGATTTTAAACACGTCGCAAGATGGATTTGACAATAAAGTTTGATTACATTTTACAGATTATAGATTTTGGAAACGTCTGTCATCTGCTTAGTTTTTGTGAATCAGGCTTTTCCGTTTGGGAAAGGGTTGATCTATGGATGAACGCATGAATGAAGTGCAGTGAATGCACCAATTCGACACGAAACACCTCATTTATTGCTGTGCTTGAAACTTATGGTTGTAGAGCGAAGGTGCATTTCGTGTGATTCTACTGAGAACCTTGGTCGTTTCTGCCACCCTTCTGAACTTCTTTAAAGAAGGGTGTATCATTTGTGGTTACTGTTATGTAGCAATAACCCATTTGACAAAGCAAATGTCCAGTCATCTGCAGTGTTCCATCCCCCACCAACAGACATAGCAGGATATCTGATGAGAAATAATCATTCCATCTGCAATATTAACTGATGCTGGCAGTCAACCAACGCAAACAGAATTGTTCAGTGGCTTGTGAGCATTTTTTTCCTCAAAGAACGTCAGAATCTAGGGCAGAACAAGCTTGAAGGGGAATCTGCGGCCGTCAGCCATCACTAAGGATGAGGTTCAATTCTCTGATAGTGACAGAGTCTCTAAGAATTGGCAAGAAGCAACGTACTGGAATAATCAAAGGCCCTATGATAAAAATGGTGAGGAATGATTTCAGACAATTACAAGGACGATGAGATTCGTTCGAAGACACGTGTCAAACTTAAGGCCGGAGGGAGTAGAACTGGCACGCCACAACATTTTATGTGGCCGGCAAAAGCAAATTGTGTGCAACTGGCTTCCTGTTTTTGGCTACCAAAATTGCAAATGGTCCTGTTAAAAATGTCGGTCAGTGATGATTACCACTATTATTGATTTTAGACAAATAAGGAGGGGGAGGGGCCTGTGCGATCTCATATCATATTCTAGATATTAAAAAAAACAAAAAAAACAAAAAAACATGCATTGAGCTTGACAGTTCAAAAATTGACAAGTGTCCCTTGGGTAGTGAGATAGGTATTATCAGCAACTCGTAGTTCCACGGGCCCCCTCTAGTGGTAAGCAACAGAATCATTGCATTGCCCAAGTACTTGAGCTGTATTGACATTTTAGGTGAATGGTTTTTGCATTTAGCTTTACAGAACTGCTGGTTTTAAAACATGATGGTATATTTTCATTTCACTTTCATATAAAGTAAATATTAACTGAATCACTTTCCAAACAGTGTTTTTTCTCTCCTTTCTATAAGCACAAAATTGTGCAAAATATTACAGTGGTTTACAATATTCTTATGATTAAAATTATTCATAATACCTCGGTCTTGTTTTAGATACACACTGAATTATTTAATTACTATAATTAATTATAATTAATTTTTATTTTTTATTATTTTATTTATTATTAATACAGCATTTTAATGTTGGTCGTATGGTGTTACTTGGAGAGCTTTTGTGAGGTGGCATTGAGAACCACAGCTGTACTCGAGATAAGCACGTTAAATGGTCGTTATTAGTGAGCAAGTCAACATTATTCAGGTGTCATTTATCTAAATCTGTGGATCAATAAGCTGGGTTTTTGACATAATGCACGTTTTGATTCAGTCAAAAACATGCAGTATTTTTGTATTGTCGATGAGCTGAAAAAAAATGAAATCAAAAGCGGAGTCTCGTGCAATTTAGTGCGGATCGTTAAGGGTTAACAAGACGTAGAGAAGGAGGAGGGAAAAAAATCCACCTCGCTTGAGACGTAATCGGTATTGCACCAGCTAACCGATCATAAGGACCGGCCTACCGTCACATTTCCGAAATGGATTCGGTGTGGAATCGAGTAAACAGATCCACGAGCGGCCAGTGAGGCGCGTGACCATTAACGCTCGTTGGTTCCGTAAAGGCGCGCGCGCGCGTCAGCTCGCGTTGGCTCGTGTACGTATGCGCGTGCGTGGGAGCGTTTATGTCCGAGCGCACGTGCGAGAGCGCGCGCGTACGTGCATATGTGGTGGGCGCTTGAGCGGCGACAGAGCAAGCAGGGCAACGCCAGAGCAGAGCGAAGAAGGCAGCCCGCCAGCGCTCGGCTAGCAACCAACCGCACGTTCCACGGCGAGACATGATCGCTTCCACACCCGGAATCCTTCTGCTACCGCTGCTAATATGCCTCCAGCACTGCGCGGGCGTTCGCGGTAAGTCTTGACGCTCACCGCGAAGCCAACCCCGGCAGCGCGCTGTCGGCAACGTTAGCTAATGTCGCCGCGCTTGAACACCTGTCTTGGTGCTGATTGAATGACCCAGCTCGGCTGCGCTGGTACCTCGCGTTGATTGTTAGCAATGTGACAATGCTGGCATGACCCGTTTTCTTTCCACAACACTGGATATTTCCCATAACCTCCTTCCAAATGTATATTGGCCATTCAAGCTAATTATTTCGGACTCCTTGGAAATGAATGTCGAAGCGGGCCCGCTTCGTTTGTGTTGCGCAGACACATTCGCGTCTAATTATCGACCAATCGGTTTACTCCATACGAAAAAAAAAACGCTTGCTGTTCCCATGTGTACGGAATCTGCGCTTCTTATTCATCAGTACTGGCTGCTATTGACACTCATCTCATTCATTGTCAAATTGCTGTGTAGAAGTGGGTCACGATGAGTCGTGGGATGACATCGTGGCGACAGCTGAGTTTACCTGCCGCAGGTGACTTCAGTCTCGCTCTGATAAGCGTGCCGGACTTGTCTGCCGTCTGTGTGATGTGGTTTTCTCGAACCGAATGCCGTCTAAATAATAAAACGAATGTTCCAATACCAACATGCCATGCATTGATATACAGTAGTGCAGTAGGTGCAAGTGTTTGTGAGAATATCACTGTCAGCGATTGTAAATGTATGCAGTTTCTGCACCAGAGTTTAGTAGATTTGTACTAAAAATTTAAATACGACTGAGCTTTACTTGTGCAGTGATTCATTTGTGTTCTACTCGAGTACAGGTCACCAACGTGGTCCCTATGGGTACTACCGAAGGAGCTAAATTGTAGACTGTGGGCCTCTTCTAAAAATAGATCACCAGTGATGGGATGTTGTCATTTTCTCGGAATGCTGGAAAATCGATCATTTGAAAATGTCAACCCTGGCAGAGAGTTATGAAAGTAATTTGTTGCCAATTGATGTTTGTCTGTTTCCTAATTGTGAGAAATCATTAACATGATCAGTGTCTTCTCAGCCAATTACTGGGCACACGCACACAGCCATTCACACCAAAGTATAATTTAGAGCAGGGGTGTCCCAACCTTTTCTTCCAAAGCCAGCTGACAGACAAATCAAAAGATGCAAAGGCCACTTTGACATTCCTCATCTTTAATTCATAAACTAGCTGAAATCAGTCCGTGTTTTTGTGCTCAGGCCAAAAGAATAGAAGTATTATCGCTGGTAGAATCTTCATGTTGTTAGGTTGAATGTTTTTTTTTTTTTAATTAGCTAAATGTTATTGTTTTAATCCCAAACGGTGATTTTAAGGAGTTAAAAGTTTGTGTAATGGGGAGTGCTCACATCTGTTTGGACGTGTACAAGGCCTACGCAACAGTTGGCAGCACTCGGTGTTATTTGGGCGAGTACTTTAGCTAATATTTACTAATACTTCTGTACTGAGCAGCAGCAGAATCTTACCTCCACATTCAGAGCCACAACAAGAGCCTTCTGTACTTGACAGACCTTGACACCTTCTCCTTCACTTTGAACCTTCCCTGTAGAAATTAAATGAAAATCAAAGCCTGGATGTGTACGTTGCCGCCAAATGGATTTTTTTGATTGTGTGTGGGCTGATAACTTAAATCACACATACACCATAAGAGGCAGATTCTTGTGATTGAATATCATCAGCATTTGTAATACACTCACCCTTCGGTTCAAACGGACAGATCATAACGGGAACGTGACAGACTGGCATCTCTCGCGGCCGGCGAGATGGTAGATTTTTTTTGAGACAGCCAATAAATGGGCCATTGCTGATTTTGATAGGAAGAGGGGGAATCGACCTCAAAATCGATGCAATTATATGTACAGCGGGCTTGAACAAACAAGCAACTATTGCCTCGTCTCCGATTCTTCGTGCTTGCCAAAGGTAACCGGAATGCAAGTGTTGGACTCTGCAAAGGCCAGACAATTCTGAACAAGTCACTCAACAGGAAATGATGCCGGAACAGACTGTTAGACTCATTTTACTTAGAAAGTCTTAACATTGTAGCCTTGTTTTCAATCTTTGAATTGAGTTCACATCACATTGGCAGAGGAAACGCAGGCTCAATGATCAAAGGCTTTAGAGAGAGAGAGACACTTTGGCTTTTTCGACTTGCATTTTTTTTTCTTTTTGTTTGATATTTAGGTGTGTTCAGTTTTATATCGCACACCGTGTTATTCACTAAACAATTACCCCTTGAAGAAATAAAAAAAATAACGGGCAAGTACAGGCTCGTAGATCTCGATTTAAGAGCCTCTTGAGCAAGGCGTCTCACAAATTAGCTGAGCAGCAGCAGCAGCAATGCTTGCCCTGATTAAAATGGATGGAGCTTCCCTCCGCCGTTACTATGATGGCACGCTAGACCCAGATCCTCAGCTACATGAGCGCAGGCGGCGTGGGGGTGCGCTTGGCTGCCGCAGTGGGCGGGGTGGTGGACTGCAAGAAGAAGAAGAGGAGGAGGAGGAGGAGGGGGAAACGCACTGCAACAGTTTGTGTTACTGGGGAAAATTGCCTTAACGTGACCGCCAGTGGGACAGCATTTATAGAAAGCACAGTGTCGACCTATTTTTAGCAGGACGCAAGGTGCAACTTTGGAGGGGGGGTTATTAACATCCCTCAATGACAAAATCATATTTTTCTTTCTGTGAAAGTCCAGCGCTGTTTGTCATGATCTGTTTGTCTCCCAGGAACAAAAACAGAATGTGTGGCCAACCAGTTTCAATGTGCCAATGGTCGTTGCATCCCGTCTGTTTGGAAGTGTGATGGCGACGAGGACTGCAGCGATGGCAGTGACGAAAGGTCATGTGGTAAGAAACTCTTGCTGATTTGACGTTTTTTTTTTTTTTTTTTTTTTTTTTCCGCACATTGCCTGCGATTGTCAGACTGATTTGCTTTTCTCTTCCTCCTTCCACAACAGTCAAGAAGGTTTGTCCAGACTCGGACTTTGTATGTCGTAATGGCCAGTGTGTTCCAAAGAGGTGGCAGTGCGATGGAGAGCCAGACTGCGAGGACGGGTCGGACGAAACTGTGGAAATTTGCCGTAAGTAGAGGCCAAGCCTGTCAACTTGAAGTCTGATTTTTTTTTTTTTTTTGAATTTGTCAAGTGTTTAGATTGGATGTTAGCATTGTTTTTTTTACGACTAAAATAGCGTGCACCATACCGTCTCATTGATCAAACTCCACTTCATAATTCATCAGTCTTTCATGTTATTTTTTGGATTGTTGGAGATTAAATTACATCTGGTTAGTCGAGACTGTTTTGATTGTCCCTTTAAAAAAAAAAGGCAATATTGCTCCTGAACTTGGGGAGGGGTTTGCAGAGGAGCAATAATTTGATCCAGTTCACAGAGTCTTCCCCCCCCCCTCTCTCTCGAACAATATTTATGGTAGGATTCCTGAAGGTCTTGAACTTTGAGGTTCCGTCCATGTGCATGTGATTTAAGTTCCAGGCATACTCACGGCAGTGTACACGGGCTAAGCTGCATGTGCAAATGCTTATCACTGCGGGGTTTACCCAGCTGTACTTATTCTTAGGAATGGATAATGCTGCACTTGCATTTCTATTGACCTTAACGGGCTTCGGTTAACTTGGTCATTGGTTTAAAAAAATATATATATATTCAAAAAGAAACTCTGTGGATTCTGTGGAACAAAGCATAAAAGGACTGCAAGACTTTTTGTTGTTGAATTGTGACCTGTGTGGGTATTTATTCATTAAAAAAAAATCTTTATCATGCAGATATGCGGACTTGCCGTCTGAATGAGTTTAGTTGCGGCGCCGGTTCCACTCAGTGCATCTCCAACTTCTGGACTTGTGATGGCGAAAAGGACTGTGACAATGGAGAGGATGAGCTCAACTGCGGTAGGCCAAGATCATATTCTCGTCTGCGAAATTAAAATGCCCTTGAATTCCAATTTGGCTTTGTGTGAATTTGTAGGTAACGTCACCTGTGCTCCAAATGAGTTCACCTGCGCCAGTGAACGCTGCGTCTCCCGAAACTTTGTCTGCAATGGCGAGGACGACTGCGGCGATGGCTCCGACGAGGTGGAGTGCGTGCCTTCTTCCTGTGGCCCGAGTCAATTCCAATGTGGAAATTCATCGTGCATCCCCGATAGTTGGGTGTGTGATGAGGATGTCGACTGCCAGGTAAGGGAAACGCAATAAAATGGGAAGCGTAACATTTTACAAAAGGCACAACTACATTTTCATGTCGACGGAAGACGTCACCACTGTACTTTTCCTCCAATTCACAGTCAATGCAAATGATTTCAATTGTTGCTTGAGTAACTGTTGTTCATCCCTTTTAGTTGCACCCACCCAGCCAGGTCTGCATCGGCTAGTTTGCGCTTCATGTCCATTACAACCAATAGCGCTCTTCTCACACACATACACAAGGATGATGCGGTGCACGTTTTGAATCCAACATGTCTGTTCTTCTGTAGGATCAGTCTGATGAGTCGCCGTCACGTTGCGGTCACCACCCAACCCCACGAGCCAAATGCTTCACCTGGGAGATGCAATGCCTTTCGGGACAGTGTATTGACAAAATGAGGAGGTGTGACGGAGACCCAGACTGCAAAGATGGCAGCGATGAACAAAACTGCCGTAAGTGCAAACCCATACACCATAAAAACTTTTTTTTGAGTGCCTAATGATTGAACGAATGATGTATGTGGTTGGCAGCTGTACGCAGTTGTGGAGCAGATCAGTTCAAATGTGATGACGGCAACTGTATCCCGGGCAGCAAACAGTGCAACGACATCCGAGAGTGTCATGATGGATCAGACGAGCTTAACTGTAAAAACCGTAAGTTCTGAATTCTTCAATTGTATCCCCTTCCTTTGCTTTCCTGTTTTTGTTTTTAAGCAAACAAGGTGAGAATTTTAATCCTACGTTCACTTTGGTGTTCCCCCTTTGCGAAGATCGCAAGCTGGGGAATAATGATAGAATAAGCATCACAATAGGTCAATTTCAAACGATGCAGGAGAAGTAGTTTTAAATGTAGTGCAAATCTTATTTATTTATTTTTTTTCTTTGCAGAGACTCACTGTCATGGACCCGAGAGGTTCAAATGTCGCAGCGGGGAATGCGTCGAGATGAGCAAAGTGTGCAACAAGAATCGAGACTGTCCGGACTGGAGTGACGAACCAATCAACGAATGTGGTGAGTTTTGCAACACAAAATAAAAGAAGACTTTTTAACAGCCCGTTCGACGGTGTGTGAAAGTCCCCTGCCATCCATGGAATACATTGTCGAGTTGGCTGAACGCTGATGCGGTTTGCCCGTTTTTTGTCATGCTCTGCAGATGTCAACGAGTGCCTGATGAACAACGGGGGCTGCTCGCACCTCTGCAAAGACATGACAATTGGCTTTGAGTGTGACTGCACGCCGGGCCTGCAGCTCATCGACCACAGAACCTGCGGAGGTATGACGAAGTTTTCTTCACCCATAGTATTCATTTTAATAAACATTGCTTGTTCACGTTAGCTAGCGATTGTTTCAATACTGCCGAGAATGTGACCATTCCAAATGACTGATGTCATTCCGCCCCTCTTCCCTCAGATATCAATGAGTGTCTGAACCCGGGCATCTGCAGTCAGATCTGCATCAACCTGAAGGGAGGATACAAATGCGAGTGCCACAACGGCTACCAAATGGACCCCACTACAGGAGTCTGTAAGGCTGTAGGTGAGTCATACCTGTTCCAATGGAATACACCCCCACCTCACCTCGCGCCTGACCAACAGCCATCAACGTTGAAGATTCGCCCACATGTATCCACCTCTAAACTATAACGCAGCAGAAAAAAATGTCCGGCCAACAATGTGACAAGTCTGAGAATGAGATGGTGGTGGATGAGCGTAGCGGTTAGCCTTGCAAATTTGGGCAATTCCGAACTCTGCTAGTCTTCAAAATAGTCATTTGAGCAGGACCTCAGGACTGGTCGGAAGCAATAAGGAGAGCGGTGCGAATTGAAGTTCAATCGTTCAACCGCTCTGCTGAAAAATGATCAATATCAACTTTCAACGTGAATGGCGTCGCGGGTTCGAATCCGGAGTTTGCATGTTCTCCCCGTGTCTGCCTGGGTTTTCTCCCTGTACTCGGGTTTCCTCCCACATTCCCAAAACATGCATGCTCGGTTGACTGAGTGAAAATGAGCAAGTCCTCCTTTTATCCAAAGGGAAGGAGCCCAGTCTGATTTTTACCAATCGCCGGGATGTCCGTCGTCTGGGCCTTGAGAGGAAGGAGTACACTCAGATTTTGGAGCAGCAGAGGAACACCGTGGCGCTGGATGCGGATTTTGACCAGCAGTTGATGTTTTGGGCCGACTTAGGACAGAAGGCCATATTCAGGTAACTTGCACGTTATTCAAACAGTGGTAGTCGTGTACAACTGCCGCCGTCTTTTCTCAACAGCACCGTGCTGGACAAACGAGGCGACGTCAGCACCCACAACAAAGTGATCGAAAACGTCCACTCTCCCGTTGGAATCGCCGTAGACTGGATATACAAGAACCTGTACTGGTCCGATCTTGGCACCAAAACCATTTCTGTCGCAAACTTTAATGGAACCAAGCAGAAGATTCTCTTTAGTCGTGGCCTGAAGGAACCAGCTTCCATCGCAGTGGATCCTCTGTCTGGGTAGGTGTTTTTTGTATTTTTTTTTGGGGGGGAGGGATGTCATGAACAGTATACTGCACAATCTTCCAAAATCTATTTTCTGACTTTTTATTCTCCTCTGTCAACTGTAGGTTTCTGTACTGGTCTGACTGGGGTGTGCCAGCCAAGATCGAGAAGTCTGGTATGAACGGAGTCAATCGGCAGATTCTGGTGGCGACGGACATCCAGTGGCCAAATGGGATAACCCTCGGTAAGGACAAAGCGGTGCACTCCAACCTTACAATTCGGTCACGATATTTGATGCGCCCGATTTTAAATATCACTTCAACAGATTGGATGTGATTTCATGATATTATCAGCTACGGCGGGGCGGTGTTAAGTTCTTCATCTTGAAAATGTGGCTTGTGGATGATTTTTGGGTTGTTTTAGCCCTTCAACATTTCTATGTTTGTCCCTTTTGGACCACGTTTTAATGACCTTTTTTGACATGTTGTTAATGTTGAATTCTTCTCATATTGCGTCTGTTGTTGGTCTAGATCTGATCAAAGGCAGGTTGTACTGGGTCGATTCCAAGCTTCACATGCTGTGCAGTGTCGACCTGAATGGTGACAACAGGAACAAAGTGCTCCAATCTTCAGACTACCTTGCTCATCCTTTTGCTTTGACTGTGTTTGAGGTATTGCCACGCTTTTTTTTTTTTTGCATTTTTTTTTCTTTTGGACCAATCAGTGGGATTTTTTTTTTCCCTCCAGCACAGCTTTTTATGTGCAGTATTGTTTTGAGGTGTTGACAAATACATACTGGATTTTTTTTTCGCTTCCCCTTTAAAAAAAAAAAAAAAATGATATGCATGTTGTTGTGACCCTCCTTTTCAGGATCGTGTCTTCTGGACAGACGGCGAGAAGAAAGCAATCTACGGAGCTAACAAATTCACCGGCTCGGACATTGTGACCCTAGCCAACAACCTGAATGATCCACAGGACATCATCGTGTATCATGAGCTCATTCAACTTTCTGGTAAGAACATAAAACAACGGAGGGATGTGGACAGGCCCCGAATTTGTGTAAAGTCGCACCCAAAATGGATTGTGTGATAAAACTACAAATTGGTGGGTTGTTTCCAATATATTTAGAAAATTCTTTCAGATATTTAGGTGAACGTCAAATGTTACAATTTTTACTGTATCCAGATCGACTCTCCATTCATCTTAAAGTGAACTTAATTATTTCCATTCATTGCTGCATTACATCATCCATTCATTGAATTCACTGATCGGTGACCCGCTGTCGCATGCTTTTTTGCAAAGAGTCCGCTCTGCTCTTCCTTGTAACGCGATCCAGGAAACGACAAGAGTGGATCAATGAATTCAGTGCCAGTCAAAGGTGGAAATGAACTAACCAGAAGCCTCGACTTGTTTTGCAGGAACTAATTGGTGTGCAGAGAAAGGTGCGAATGGAGGCTGCAGCTTCATGTGTCTGCCTGCACCCCAAATCAACAAACATTCCCCCAAATTCACTTGCCTGTGTCCGGGAGGGCAGGAAGTGACTGCTGACGGGCTACGCTGCGGGCCGGGTCAGTTCAAACGTGTTGTTTGCCATCTTGTAGTTTTAAAGTGTCTCCATAATCCAAGAATGTATTTTCTTTGAAAAGATGCACATCTAATGGCTGCCACGCCAGCAGCCTTTTCATTCATTCCTTGCTTAACAAGGTGACTGGGGAATACTCGCCTACTCTACGCTGGCTGATTTTGAGCCATATCCTTCCTTCTACCTCCCCTCCCAGTTTTTTTTTTTTTTTTCTTTAAATATATACAGAGACAGTGAGAGACGAACCCGGCAACGGAATTCAGCGCATATAAACTCCTAATTAGACTCTCGGCTGCAGACCGAGCAATTGGCGTAAACAAAGCACTGGAACATCTCCCTGACAACTGTGCGCCACTGTGCTCCTCAAAAGAAAAAATGCCCAGTTTGTCGAAGTTGCCTTGCGAGTTTGCGCGTATAATTGCGTTAACACGCCCTTCAGTGATTTTGGCCTGCTGAATTAATAGCGTGGGAGAAGAATGCCTTTCACCATCCCCTCGAGTTGGGTTGGAGCCAGAAGCCTTTATGCTCAAACGCATTTACAATTGCAGCTGCTCCAAATGGAACTGGGGATCATTTGTTCTTCGGCTTTTACTACCTCCTTGTTTTGTCACACAAGCTAGGTGCTAAGCACTGCCATCCAAAGGACGGTGAACCACTATTTTGGACTTAAACAAGTAATAGGTTCCAATTCCTTGGGGGCGGAAAAAAAAAACGATCCTAATAAATGTAGCGGCTTCAGCCAAAATGAAGTCAAATGTTTTGTATCCTCTGTCGTTCTTTCCATCGAATGTTTAGTATGTGGCGCAAGCATCGGGCGATTCACAATACTTTGCAATCCCATCTTGCGTTCTGAAGCGCCTCCTAAGATATGTACTGTATGTAGCATATTGGCTTTTTTTTTTTTCACGAGGACTCTTTGTTTTTCCAGAAGCCAACGTGAGTACGTCAGTTCAGGTGAACGCAGCCAGAGGTTCTGCAGCGGCTTGGGCCATCCTACCCGTCTGTAAGTCATCATCATCCTTATCACATATCCTTTTAGAATTCTTTGAATTAATACCAGCACCTGTTATGTTTGGCACCTGATCTTGTTGCAGTATTTGAGTGTCAAAATAAATCCTACTTTGTGCAAAATACGCTCCTGTTTGAATTCTGATTGACCTTTTGAAAGCGTCAGTACAAATCACTCATGGCGGCTGTCTTGTTCATGGCTTGCCACTTGATGGCGCAATTCCAAGGCGGTGTTTCCCTCCCCTGATTGTTTTTTTTCTCTCCTTTCCCTTCTTACCGGTGACTGGCTCAAAATTTGTGTGCGTGCCCGCACCCTCAGTGGTGCTCGCCATGGCGGCAGCCGGCGCCTATTTGATGTGGAGGAACTGGACGTTGAAGAACCAGAAAAGCATGAACTTTGACAACCCCGTCTACCTGAAGACCACCGAAGAAGACCTCAACATCGACATCACACGGCACAGTGCCAATGTGGGCCACACATACCCAGCGGTAAGTAAAAGCCATTGACTCGAAACGTACTCAACAAGCCACCGCATCTCACAACATGCTTTTAAACAGCCCCCCCCCCTCTCGGTTGAGCTGATAATATCAGCAGAGAAGTAAAATGGGTTAATTGCTGCAGAGTCCCTTCGCATTAAACTAGATTAAATCATTTCTTAGTCGCTGAGGATTGAGAGTGCTTGCCAATGACCTCCACTCTCATCTGCAGCCTTCCGTAATCTTGAGGGTATTGTTGGCCATCCGCAGAGCAAAGATGACCTATATTAACCTCGGACCGCTCAAAGCTCCGAAGCAGGTCGACGCTAACCTCGGCCGCTTTCGACCGAACCCCGTGAACCGCGCAAGCAAATTGTCTGCAAAGCTTGAATGCACCTTTCAGTGGCTTAGTCATTTCCTGGGACGTCGTCAACAGGAGCCTCGTGTCACTCCGAAAGCCGCTTCATAACTTCGGAGTCGATGCATCTTTTGGTCACGCAATCGTACAACTTTTCGGACTTTGGAGGTCAGCGGGCATCACGTTTGAATTATAATTCCCTAATTCTGTTTTTTTCTCCTTTTTTCAGATTTCAATTGTGAGCACAGAAGATGATCTCTCATGACCACGTCGGTGTCCCATTCCCCCCCCCCACCCCTTTTTTTGTTAATTAACGGCACTCATGGCAGAGCCTGTCATCTTCTTGTTCCATCAGCAACGTCAGCAGCGCTCACAGTTACATGACATGCCTCCTGAAGTGCATTCAATCATGATCAGTGGTGACAGGAACTGAAAGAAATGTTATTTATTTTGTAAATACTACTTTGGATTGTGTCGTTTTGTTTGCATCGCCCCGCTTTTCCAACTTTGCTGCCCTTGCCCTGAAAGCAATTTCAGTATTGTTTTTTTTCTCCACCTTTCACCCCTCCTCCAAAAAAAAAAGAGGTGAGAAATTCCCAACAACGTACGAGTCGGTAGCCTCTTGCTGAGCTGTTTGTGGGATCTTGAAATCATACTGGAGGGCTTCAGTCCCGCTCTCACCAAACGGATCTCGAGTCTGCTGGACAGGTTTTCCAACTAGATCTGAACCACAACTTGCCTTTTTTTAAACCTAAATGCTATGCTGTCATCTATGGTCATGTATTCGGTAAAATGATTTCATTTTTGCAAGACGTTGTGTTCTGAATCTTTAATATTATTATTATTATTATTATTGATAGCAGGTTTTCCGTAGTTTTAAGCACTGTACATATTTAGCCATCCTCTCAGACTATCAATCAGGATTCTGTTCAATGCACTTTGAAAAGATTTGTGTAAATAAGATTGTATACGTTTGACCTGAGAGCTCTTTTGCTCTGGTCGGCCATTGTACCGGGGTTGGGGGTTCAAATGTACAAAAAGAGAAGCAACACGATTTGGTAAAACTATTTTGTATGTTTGCTGTGGCCGTGGCTCTTTTCTAGCCTTGTACAGTTGTTTAAACATTTCAAAAGCTCTGTATACAGTATGTGTGTGGAGGGAGGGGTGATTTGCAAAACGATTAAATTAAAACTCTAATCCAGAGAATTGTTCCAATCATAGCTTCCTGTCATTTGTGTAACGGCTAGCTGCAACTCCGTTGTTTTTTTTTTTTTTTCATTTTGTATCAAGTGTGGAAGCCCTTCAACTTGAAGCATTTTTACGAATGCTATTGTTCCTTCAGTATATTTTCTTTTCTATGGCTATACAAGGCATGTGATCTCGCCATAGTCAACCTGATTGGTCAAGTTATTATGGTAGGAGGAGAGGGATCAAGAGATGGTTGAGGGGAAGGATAATACCGTCGAAAACACTCTAAAGCACCCAGATCATCTTTGATTTCAAACCTCAACTGGGTTTGGGTCGTCACCTTTCTGGTGACGATGCATTTTCCGCCCCAAGGAATGTAAATTCATCCCAACCATTTTTTTTTTTTTTTAACCCCCCTTAAATGATTTACTTTGGCACGATGCGTATGCCTTCATGTCTGCGAATCGAAGCATGTTGAGACTCCTCCGAGCCCGCAGCAGGAGTTTGTTCCCCGGTTACAAACCCGGCAGCCGATCTGGACCCTTCAGGGAACCAAACGACTTTGTGGATCTGACCAGGATCTTTGTGAAGCCATGGAATTCCATGCAGGTCAGACATTTCCTCTCTTACGTTTTTGTTTTTATTTTTTACTTGGTTTTAAAGTACAGTACTTTTTTTTTCTGGGCAATTTTTTTTCTGTTTTCCTTCAAATTGTCATTTTTTAAAATCAATTTCTTGCATGCAGTTTCATGCCGATAGAATTCAGATTTTTAATTTTTGTATTTTTTTTTTTAAGTTGTTGATGAAAGATGCCTCATGTTCACCTTGCCATGTTTTTCTTTTTTTTTTGTGTAGGATCTAGGCAAAGACGTCTATGATCTTTATGCTGAGGATGAAGAGGAGGATGCGTCGCCGTCTCCCATGCTACTTTCTCCGACCAAGCACTTCGTGCTCAACATCAATGTTGGCGGAACTGTAAGTTCAGAGCAATCAGCCGAAGTTGAAAACCCAGATTGTTCTGAGTGGTCAATTTTCAGGCAACCTAGCATTGAATAAATGAAACCATCTGACAAAGACACCATCCGTCATAATGTCCTTTCACGTGGACTCTCTCAGTTTCAGAGGGCTCTTTTTTATCGTTTAACAGGAATGAGGATTTTCCAACTTTTTACGTTTTTTAAATGCAAATTTGAGTCATTTTGAGCAGTTCTTGAAAACCTTGACGTTTGAAAGTCCGGTAAACCGTCCTTCGGCCCATTTGGTGAGGTTTGTTTTTTTCTACTTTGCAGGTGTACCACCTGCCCTACAGGTTAGCTGTCAGGTACCCCAAAACACGGCTCGGCCGCCTCGCCACATCCACAGACCATAACAGGAAGTTGGAACTATGCGATGACTACATTGTGCACAGCAACGAGTTCTTCTTTGACCGGGACCCCACTATTTTCCAAAATATCTTCAACTTCTACAGGTATAACAAAATGGGACCTAACTAAAGTAAAACATAGGGCACAAATATGAAGAAAAAAAAAGAAAGACAATCATGATAAATCTTCTCTTGTCCATTGCCAAGGACCGGCGTGTTGTGGATTAAAGATGAGCTTTGCCCGCGTAACTTCCTGGAGGAAATCAACTACTGGGGCGTCCGGATCAAGAACAGCCACCGCTGCTGTCGCATCTCATTCGAGGAGAGGCAGGACGAGCTGACCGAGCAGCTGAAAATACAGAAGCAGCTTATGGCAGAGGTGGGTCGTCGGCCTTCGTATCTCTGCCGTGGTCCGAGGAAGAAAAAAAAAAAAAAAATCAACAACTTTTAATTCTAAGACGATAAATGAAATGACTCCATGAAATGCTTTATAAGTACGTCGAATGCAGCATGCGCTTCTCCGGCGACTCTGGCATCCTCCTCCATTCGAAAAACATGTACGAGGTGAATTGAAGACTAAATCGGGGGTGGCCAACGAGTTGATCGTGACGGACTGGTCCCGAGGCGATCGCGATGGGTGTAGGGTGAAATCGAGTTTTAAAAGTATTTTAAAAATAAAATAAGCAGGTCACCTTTGACCTATGGTGGCGCAGGATCAGCAGTCTGCAATTGCAGCTTGCGATCAGAGCTGTTGCCATATCACTTTTATTCATCGCATTTACAGTTTGTTTCATCTGCGATCTGGCAAAGAATGGCAATCTGGAGCACCAGAAGAAGCATTTCCAAACGGTACACCTACGTCCGATAATTTCTGCCCTTAACGCCTTGCAAAAGTGCGCGAATTTGTTTTCTTACCTAATCTGCATGCTGACAGACGGTGTCTGACCTAAATCGATGGTCTTGTTGACAGATGGTGTGAGGAGAAAAGGCTTCTTCTTGGCACACTTTCCCCCAACATGTTGCCCATGTCACGAGTCCTTGCTGTGAGAGTTTGTCAGACCGCGATTCACCTTGACGTCGATGTCAATTTTCTGGTTGCGATGATGGTCCCGCTTATTTGAGTGTTTTCCCATTTTAGGATGTTTTTTCAACTTGATGTCATATTTATTTTATTTGAATACTTTTTGGGTGCACTTGACCGTTGTCATTTCCTTCGAGGGCTGATGGTGTATTCCAAATTTCTGGGGAACAGAAAATATTTAACCACCAGTCCAACCACAAAGCCTACTTTATTTTTTTTCTCCCCTTTACGTTTTACCAAATTAAAAAACAAAAATGACCATTGTCTCTTTTAATTAAGTTTGTAAGATGAATATATACTCGGGCTGAACTGTACTTAAAATGATGCCTGAAGTGTGGAAACTGTCCCCACTTTAACGGACTGACAACCGACCGTGACCTCGTTTCATCCTCCACTTTGGCGCCTGACAAATCTCGTTGATAGGATAATAAATCCATAAAAGTTTGATCTTTTCAAGTCCAAGGGTCATCGGTTGAAGTCTCGAAAACAAAAACACGGTTGCAGGAAGTGCTCTTTTGAACCGTTTGGATCCAAAACGATCCATTCGCTGACTGAGACGGACGCGTTGCGGCTCGCTCCCTCTCGAGTGAACGTGAACCAAGCTTGTAGACTTGAGACGGTGTCTACACAAGGACCATGGCGAGCCACATTAGCGACAGTCTCAAATGTTCAATCTGTTTGGACATCTTTAACGATCCTGTCATCCTGCCATGTAGTCACAGCTTCTGCTGCGGGTGTATGCAGCAGTGGAAGGAGAAAGGCCATCGAACATGTCCGGTCTGTAGAATTGAGTTCATTTCGATCGACGCCTGTGTAAACTTGGCACTGAAGAATGTGTGTGAGGGCATTGTGCAAGCCTCCCTGGGATCAGAGGACATCTGCAGCCTGCACAAGGAGACACTGAAACTTTTCTGTTTAGACCACCAGGAGCTTGTGTGCACCGTCTGCCTACATGCGCAAAACCACGCTGGCCACAAGTTCCGTCCCCTTGAGGATGTTGTGGATGGCCACAAAGAGGATCTCAAGAAAGGCCTCCAGGATGCCAAGGAAAGACTGACATACTCTAGAAAGATGAAAGACGACTGCGGCGAGCAAGCGGCGAGCCTCAAAGTCCAGCGGGAGCGGGTTGAAGGCAAGATCAGGAAGGATTTTGAGGAGCTTCGTCTCTTCTTGCAGTTTGAGGAGGAGGCCAAGTTGTCTGCGGTCAGGGAGGAAGAGCAGAAGAAGAGCCGGATGATGAAAGAGAAGATGGAGGATCTCGACAGACAAGTGACCACCCTCTCAGACGTGATCACAACAACAGAGGAGCAGCTGACGTGTGAAGGCGTTTCCTTCCTGAAGAACATCCGGAGCGCGATGACCAGAATCCGAGAGCTGCCCGCCAAGCCCGAGCAGCTCCCAGAAACTCTGCTGGACGAAGACAAACATGTGAGCAACCTCAAGTCCTCCGTGTGGGAACGGATGAAGGCGCTGGTCCTCTGCCATCCACGGTCCTAGACCCCAACGCGACCGGCGTGACTTTCAAAGGAGGACAGCAGGGCCCAAGGAATACGCAGAGATCTACGTCTAGCAACGCGCCCTGTGCTCCAGAATATTTGTCAGCACGCTTGAATCGCCATGGACGCTGACAAAAAAAAAAGCATTTGATGTATTTCGTGGATTTAGATTGTGTCAAAGAAAATCTATTTTGTGGTTTCACGATGTGACGAATGTATTGTTTTCCGTTTGATGACTCTGTGATTTTATTTCCAAACATTTTGCTGCGTGCGTGCGGTGGTCACGGCGAGGTGGCAGATATCCTCAAAGATCATTGGACTTTATACATGTACCTGTGGTGTGCCAAAATTAAAACAAATCAAATGTCTCTCATGACTCCTGTCCTCTTTGTATCTCAACCTCACTGGCTGTAGCAGCAACTTCCAACTCCACAAAATATTAACAGAGCATTCTACTTTGATGACGGGCCTATTAAAAAAAGTTTGACCAGATCGACCTGGAATAGACCGGCCATTTAGGAGCTGTCCCGAACTTCTTAGTTGCCAAACTTGAGGTTTACATAGTCAAAACAAATTAGCACTGCAAACTGACACCTTGGGAATGTTGCCTTGCGGGTCTCGAGGCTGAAACACAGGATTGGGAGCATAGATGTGACCTTGAGAACCTTGCGGTTACATCATCATTAATATTTAAACCTCATACAAGGAAAATGAATGCCATAAATTGTAAACTGCCTCTCGCAAGCTGTAGTAACTGCCGCAATACATTTGCAATTTCCAGCAAAGTAGCAGAACTCATTTTTGTTTCTATTTTGTAATCTTGCGCAGCGCTTCTCTTCTGTCCCCCTGCAGGTGGAGATGGTGGCGATGGAAGAGGACGAGGCCTTGTACAAAAACATGATCTTCGGACGCACTCGCTGGAAGATTTGGAACATGATGGAAAAGCCCTTCTCCTCGATTGCTGCCAAGCTGATGGCTGTGGCATCCTCCGTCTTTGTCCTGATCTCACTGGTTGCCATGACGCTGAACACCGTTGAGGAGATGCAGTATGAGGTGTGGAGGGGGAAATTGAAAAATGGAGGGATCAAAAATAAATACCGGATGTCTGAATTTGTGTTACAGACGCCATCAGGGCATCTTAGCGGCAGGTTCTACGGCGAACACGTGGAGACTTTCTGCATCGCCTTCTTCACCCTGGAGTACGTTCTTCGCTTGCTGTCGACTCCCAGCATCAGAAGTTTCCGACGCAGCAGACATCGAGGCCATGTCGCGTGTCGGAAAGGTGAAAGCGGCACACTCGCTGACTGATGGGGATGGACGTGACATGACATGAAGATGCACCCAAAAAAAAAAAATCTTCACCTATGAGACCAAAACGTTCATGAAAAGTATCCTAAATCTGATAATTGTTATACATATTCACGTATCTTTTTGTTAATTACATGAAGAGAGGACCTTGAGAGGAAAAAATCGGATTTAAATCACACCCACAATTTGTATTTTTTGACTTTGTGTTCTTGATGCTGATTAATTTTGCCACCTGTGGGCCACGATTGCTTCCTCCTGTGCATGTTGTTTCTGTAGTTGGGCCAAGTTCTGAAGATCATGCGATTGATGCGGATCTTTCGGATCCTGAAGCTGGCTCGTCACTCAACAGGCCTCAGAGCCTTCGGCTTCACACTGAGACAATGCTACCAGCAGGTGGCGTGCTATGCATACTTTCATGCCCCTCGGTCAGACTACTCAGCAGTGACGACATTTGTGTGTGTGTTTTAGGTGGGCTGTTTGCTGCTCTTCATTGCCATGGGGATCTTCATGTTTTCCGCCATGGTGTACACTGTTGAGCATGACGTTCCCAATACCAACTTCACCTCCATGCCGCTTGCGTGGTGGTGGGCCGCTGTGAGTCATTCATTACTTTGCCGCACTTCCCAAAGGTTGTTATAGTGAACGAAAACTAACTCGGCTTGAGTACTGTAATGCACTTGACTTTGGAGTCGGACAATCCTCCATTGAGCTCTCCAGTTGGTCCAAAATGCTGCTGCTCGCCTCTTGACTTGTACTCTTGAGAGGGAGCACATCACTCCAATTCTGATAGCAACAATCACATGGGACAAAGATGGATTTTTATCAAAGGGGCTTATGACACGATCACCCTTTATCTTTGCATCTCGAATCCCACAGGTAAGCATTTCCACGGTGGGCTATCTCCAATTCTGATAGCAACAATCACATGGGACAAAGTTGGATTTTTATCCAAGGGGCTTATGACACGATCACCCTTCATGATTGTTGCATCTCGAATCCCGCAGGTAAGCATTTCCACGGTGGGCTACGGCGACATGCTCCCGGAGACCAACCTGGGCCGCATCTTTGCCTTCGCCTGCATTGCCTTCGGCATCATCCTCAACGGCATGCCCATCTCCGTCCTCTACAACAAGTTCTCCGACTACTACGGCAAGCTCAAGTCGCAAGAGTACGCCGCCGTCACCAAGGCCCGCGGCGACGTGCACTTTGCCCGAAGGGCGGCCAAGAAGCTTGCGGAATGTTATCAGGACGCCGTTCAGTCGAGGGCGCTTCGGCTGCAGTGTCAACCGCTCGGCACAGCGGAGGATAGAGCTCGTGTCAGGAAAGCTTTGGCAACCCACGCTGACCTCACATGCCCGTGACTTCATTTACCGATAAAACTGCACAAAGCGTCAAGAACTTTTTTTTTTCTTTTTGGAATGTTTGCACTCATGGAAACCGCCTCCCCCAATCACACGTGCACCATCAATTTTTACTCCCTTCTCTATTCATCTTAGGACCCTCACAAAATTCCACCCACTCCCTAGTCATTTTATGGATCCATCCATTTTCCAATTCGCTTATTCTCACGAGGGTCGTGGATGTGCTGGACCCTATCCCAGCTGTCTTTGCGCAGTAGGCGGGCTACACCCTGAATTGGTCGCCAGCCAAACGCAGAGACGAACAACCATCCATGCACACGCTCACACCTAGGGCCAATTTAGTGTCCCATTAACCTACCACGCATGTTTTTGGAACGTGGGAGGAAACTGGAGTACTCGGAGAAAACCCACGCAGGCACAAGGAGAACATGCAAACTGCACACAAGAAGGCCGGAGCTGGAATGGAACCCCGCACCTCTGCAGTGTGAGGCCGACGCGCTAACCAGGCGGCCACCGAAGAAAATGGAGGTGAGAGGTCCCGATTATCTTCAGCATTGATTTTGATTAATATCCTTCAGATTCAGATTGTCCTAGTAGGCCACAAATTGCACAAGTAGGCCACAAATTGCACAAGTAGAATAGGCATTGTACTAGTGCGACCGCGGCTCGTATCTGGATCTTAAACTGGATCTCAAGGAATACATTGGATGGCTTTCCCACAATCATGGGACTCTCATTGTCACTGTTGCCCATGCAACCTGACAAAAAGTGACGTCTGCTCCTCATGATATCTTTCCTGGAGTCCGCAATGGGTCAGCGCTAACATCCTTACTTCCACTTCACTTTTCTTAAGTGTCAAACTGCGTCACAATGTGAAGTGAGTCATGTCGAATGTGCGTCCGAGCTCTAAAAGTACACGTGAGAGAGAGAGCGAGATACCGTGGAACCGAGTTAATGTGTAATGGAGGCCCGTGCGCATGACTGGCGCCAGTTATTGTACAGCAATTGTGTTCTGAAAGGCTAAAACACACCCCCATACTGCTCACCAACTAAGAAACGACGGCACTGTTGCTGAATTCAAATTCAAAACTATTTATCATGAGAATTGACCAAAATATTTGGGCTTCAAACATTTTATCTTATTTCACCGGTCAACATTTGGAGAAAAAAAAATGTCACTAAATTGACAAAACTGATTGAAACTATACATGAGCGTAAAAATTGTGTCATAATCTCACCGCTGACTCGTTGAGCCACACTGAATTTACGGTTTATGAACCATTACACACAACAATGTTTTGTGCTGTCATTGTCACTGTTGCCCAGGCAACCCGGCACCTCCCCGTGGGAAACTTTTTGGCGGACACCATCTGGTCAAATAGCTCCGATCCGGTGCTCATCAGTTCCTGACGCGACTTGGTCCAACTTCCGGATCCAAAATGATAGTGAGCGTCACTATATGACGGGTCTATTTGTTCAAATTTTCCAGCAGGATTTCGGCTCCTTTGCTGCTGTTGGCGCTGTCCAGCTTGAAGTCCTTCAGGGCCGTCTTCACGTCTGCCACCACAGACCTGTCGCAGCTGTTCAGGAGGCTGTGGAAAGTAAAGACAAACTTTTACACTGTTGACTGTACTTGCAACTTAAAAATGATTTTCTCTTGGGACAGCAAGCTCATTTCAAAACGCTCAACATCTCCTTGCTTAGATGAGAAGACGACGCTGCGCAGGAACTTGAGTGGCGTATGAACACAAATGCACACGGACCTGCAGAGCACCATGGCTCCTCTGTTGACTTTGGCCCAACTCCTGAGGTTTTCCATCCCGACGGTGTCCACCAGGATCCTGGAAAAGCGCTCTGGCAGGAGGACACCAAAAGAAGTTACTCAGCATTCGACTGGCATCGGCGCCGGTTTGGTTGAAATTTCAACACATGACCAAGTACGTAACATCGATTGACTTCCACACAACAGACTCTAAATGTTTCCTTTGGGGTATTATAAGAAAATGGAAAAACACTATTTTGAGTCGCAATTACAATTAATCACCAGAATACATTGTTTCCTTGCGCATTCCAAAAACATTCATGTAAGGTCAACGAAGACACACTTTGCAACCCTCATGCAGGCAAATGCGAAAGAAAATGAATTGTGTGGTGGAGGCAGAAAAAAAAAAAGTGTTGATCCATATGTGAAATCACCTTCTTTGCCAGCCTCGGCAAGAGTGACGTCCTGCTCTATGAGCCATTTGAGCACCAGATGTCCTGCAGGATGTTCTGCCATGTGGAGCTAAAAAAAAAAAAGTGGGGGGGGCGGTGCACAGTTGACTCACTTGTACAAACAACTCCACGCTAACACCGTTCAGTGTTATTTTCAAAACACGCTGCTACATTTAGCCAATGTGATGATTTGAAATGCAGTACAATCGTCATTCGGTGGCACTGACCTCTCCTTCGACACCGCCCGGCACGAGTTCCTGATTGGCCAGCTGAGCTACAGCTGCCATGGCGGGTCGCAGGTCGCCGCAGGCCGACGACAAGATGTCGCTAACTGTCACGCTGGTGGCCTTGTCCATGACCATGGCGGCGGCGTTGTCGCGCAGGTAATCCAGCAGCGGCGGGGAGACCACCTCGAGCAGCTCCTTCCTTCGAAGGGCGGTGTCCTTCTTACTGGCGGGAGAAGAAGCGAAAGAGAGATGGCGGTGACGTTGCTCGGCTGCTGGCTCCAAACTTCAACATCAGGTGTGACGACGTCACGTTTCGACATGCGACCACAAATCATGTTTTTCGATGTCTGACCTGTGCTGGTTGCCGTCTCCTTTTTGCAGCACCTTGATGATCTCAGGCAGCAGGTGTGCGGGGTCTCTGGGACTCAGCAGGTACAGCAGAACCTTCTTGCCATACTTGTTACTGACGACCTCATCCAAAGATGACAAGAGCTCCTGGACAAGAGAGAAACATGCGACATGATCATGGTAAGATGTTTTCTAGAGCAAAGATGGAAATGCAAGCGTTGCACTGAAATTACGTTTAAAGTCCCCCATAGACAATTCAGCTGTTTAAAACGCGTCACAAGGAAGCAGTGACAGCTCCGACGAAAGCTGAAGTGACAACCGAAACTGTCAGCTCGGTAAGAGTTTTTCTCTTCACACCCCCTCCCCAAAAAAAAGACCATTGCCTGGAAAAAAAGAAACTCTAAACCGAATTTAAGCAATAAGTAGACAAGATGAACATCATAGCACTAATAGTTGCACGTACCGACAACACGGCCTGTTTAACAAGTTTGGTGTCGTCCACGCAGTCAAATATGGCAAGAAGAACCAGGTGACCAAACTCCCCCTAAGGACACAACACAGTCGTTAACCGCATCCAGACTTAGTCGACAAAAAAACATTTAATTCACGTCATTTGTGTTTAAGAATGACCAAGAAAAGAGGCAAAAAAGACAGCTCGAGTGATAGTGGAAAATAACAAACATGCAAGCAAGCAGGTCGTGTGAAAACCCACCGTGGCAAACTTCACCATGTATGTCTTCATTGTTTTGATGATGACTTTCCTGTCCTGAAACACAAAAAAGAAACTTGCAGCTCAAAACGCTTTCAAACCAAAATTTGAAATCGCTGAGCCGAAATTTGCGTTGGATCTTCTCTGATCTTTGAACGGGACTCGAGTGGACTCCAAGGATTATCTCATTACTGATAATCGGTTGCAAGTATTTTATTGACCAATCTTTGATCAACAAAGATTGGAACAAAAATCGACCCACCGTGCGATGACATTTACAGAAATCGTCTGCGACGACGCCTATTCGCAAGCAGCGAGCGGTGCCCTCTTTACCTTGGCGGTGCCGTGCCACAGACAGTGCATGGCCACTCGAGCTCCATCGTGGGTGTGAGCCATGTAGACGACGGCCTCCCTTATGGACTCGATCATCTCCTGTTCACAGTGACATCCGACACCATTGAAAACGCGGTCACGCCCTGAAACTTTGATTTTGAACATTTGCGCTTCAACCAAGCGGCCCAGTTGAGTTTGAACCCGTAAACCCAGGTCTGACTGTGTCCGCGACAGCAGAGGTCCCCAACCACCAGGCCTTTTTTTTTTTTTTACTAACTTTCGACATGAATACACAACAGAATATAACTCACCGCTCTCTCTTTGTCAGGACTCAGCAAGAAAAAGTCCAGGAAGACTTTGTGGACCAGAGAATGTTTGATGACTTGCTCTCTGAAACAAACAGCGCCACGTGACGTCAGACCTTCACATCCAGGTTTAAGCTTTCTTTACATTGTCCCGGGTACTGAATGAAGATAGTTTTGATGATGAAAACGAAAAAAAAAAAAATAAATAAATAAAACTGGATTCTGGATAAACAAAAACTACTAATCAATAAAATAAATGTTTCAAAAAATGAGTAGATGAAAAATCTGCTGTCTCAAATTTTAGGGGCAGTCTTTTTTACAGTTCTTGGATTGCTGTTATGTTGCCCGGGCGGTATGACACATTTTCAGTGAACTTACTTCTGTGCCATTGGTGTAATAATTTGCTTCATGTCCGTGATGATGTGGCTCAGCTTGTCTGGATTGGCCTCTGCAACCTTCTCAATGGTGTTGCACACCGAGGACTGCGCACAGGGAAAAAGACAAAGACCGAGAATCGGCTTTCTTAATTCGACTCGATTCCACCGTATAACCATTGGAGCAAAGAAAAAACAGGGGACGATAACCCGTGACTCGTCGGCCTCTCTGTTCTGTCTCCCTCTGTTGGTTATCTTTTTTTTTTTAAATATATCTCTTGGACGTGTTGTACTGTTAAGTGAATTCCGTTGCTCTCTGGTTGTGAATGTGCAATGATAATAAAAACTTTCTGAATTCAATTCAATGGGATGCGCAAATGACACAATGGGATTTTAACCATTGTGATAAAGTTTTCATCAATTTCGACTCGGCAACGAAATAATCCAAACAGTGAATCACAAGTGGAATTTTCAAAGTCAACCGATTCTAGGTTCAACCAGCGTCACGGAGTGGCGCCCTTCTGGATCAAGATGCGGTCCGGTTGAGTGTTCGTGTTTGTTTATATACCTTACAGATGGTGAAGGCGTTCCCGTATAGTTCCTCGGTGAGCATGAGTCTCTGTGCAAGTACAGCTTTGTCGTTGTAGGCGTACTCGATGATGGTGGAAGCGGCAGCGTGGCGAAGCATCGCTCGCACGTTCCCTTTAAATGTTTGCATGACCGCCGCCACCAGCTCCTTATTCCTGTAGAGAACAATGGCTCGTCAACGAGTCAACATATGAATTCTCCCAACTCAACTGTATTTAGAGAGTACTTTTAAAACAACCGCCGCTGCATGCAAAACGCTGTACACGCCGCAAAAAGCAACCTTACCGTGACAAGAGAAATCTTTTGTCGGACTTATGCAACGTGGATGTAATGTTAAAAGGTCAAAGGAGAGGAGCAGCTCACCCGTACATCAGCAACTTTTTCACCACGTGCGTGCCATACTGCGACTTAGACAAAGCAATGATATCATCTGCAGGACACACAGTGACAACATACATCAGCAAAGCCTGGATCTTTTTCGATGAACAGCACTTGTCGAATCATTCAAAATTAGCACTGTCTCACTTTTAAATGCACGTTGTGAAATGCTACTGAAAACCTCACCTTTCAGTTCATCAAACACTTCCCGTCTCTGCTCGTGGCTTCCCCACTGGACAAAACACTGCAGCACTCGCACAGAGTCGTGAGCGTACGCCATCTGGTGGAGGCAGATGGTGGCTCTTAGCGCATCGGAGCACACAGTGCATGGAAAAACCGGGCCGGGCGGCTAAGATTGGTTTTCAACAGCTCGGACAAATACCTGCTTGTACTTCCCCTTAATCAGTTCATGAAGATCCTTCATCAGCTTCCTCTTCAAATCGCTGTCACACTTCTTCCTGTGGACAGGCACACAAGACACACACACACTAAAATTGTTCATATTCATCAGAGGTCTGTACTGGTATAAATTAAATGGGGTAACATTTTTGGACCATCTGACTACGCAACAAGCAGTACATTTGCACTTTACTTCTGTGTGCCCGAGTGGGGGTCTACGTACTTTCTTAGGTCTCCCCACATTTGTTTGGCCTGATTGATAATCTGGTACATGTCCTTTCGATCTGCCTGCTGTCTGCTCTTCTTCAGGTCTTTCTTTTTCTGCAACCTGTTCTTCTTCAGGTCTTCATCAGTCTGCTGCAGTCCCTGCTTGTTCTTCTTTGGCTTAAATTCGCCTTTCTTGAACTTCTTTGCCTGCGGACCTGGTCGCACATTTAAAAAAAAAAAAAAAAATGTTAAATGTTCTCAAATGTAATGGGATGAGTGCCTCGTTGTCAGTGGCTGAGGCGTGCTAAAGTTGCTGCCTCACGACACCTGCAAGCGGAGGAAAATGGATAGATGTATACAATTAAATTTCTTACCTCCATCCTCTCCGTCCCCTTTTCCGCCAGGGAATTTTCTCTTTGGGCCTTTTCCACCTTCCCCTTTGTCGCCTGTGAGTTTTCTCTTTGGCCCTTTACCTCCTTTAACAAATGATTGTTGTTTCTTGGCATGATCTCCACTCTTCCCTATTTTCCCCTTTATGTCCTTTTTGTTGTATGGTTTGAAGGGCTTTTTACCAGGTGGCCTACTTTTCGGGGCTTTCCCAGGAGAATCTGTCAAGAGACGTGTGAAAGACCACATGAGGTTCAAACTTAAAGATGAGCATTTAATTGTTTAACGGTGTTTCCAAGCTTACCTTTGCCTTTTTGTTTCAACTTTTTCCCTTTGGGGGAAAATTGTGTTTTGGGTTTGGCTTCCATTCTAAGTAAGTGATGGAAACATGATCAGTATAACATTTGATCCACCTACAGTCCCACGGTTAAAGGCTTAACACTTGATAGGATTAAGATGAAAAAGATCTGAACCGTGAAATGTAAATGAAACTGCCCGAATTAGCTGATTCAATTTTGAAAATTAACAGTTCGAATTAGGAGGATTTTTTTTATCAAGTCCAGTGGATTCAGGATACCTTTTAGCGAGCATTACGGTGCTGAAAATGACCTAAGTTTCGCCCCCCAAAAAAAACGCACAATTGACAGCTACTAATATGACACATCCATTTCATAACAGCACTGATATTTTTCGTTATTTAATAGGCTTACTTACATTGATTGCAGATATACAGACACGCCGTGACAAACTGTCCACGCGTGTTTTACCTCAACGGTTTACGACACTGAACGCTCCAATCAAATTCGAGGTTTGCTGCCGTAAAACGTTGCCATCGTTACGACAGTGCCGCAGCACAAAATAAAGATAATGAAGAGGAAATACTGTAATGTGATTACAGTTCCGGTCACGTTACTGTAGTGACTCAGCCTGTGTCCACAAAAAAAAACGTTCTCGATTTGATATTATTCTGCAAAACTGATGTAAGTTAAAATTCTTTTGACCTGAGTTTCCAGTGGTTATTCTGTGATGTTTTAGAGTGTCATTCGTAAATCGTGCAAGTTGCAATTCATATTTACGAAATATACAAACAAAATGTTAATTACTTTTGGTCATTAAAATATCCTACGCTTTTTAAAATTGCTGGTGTTCTTAAAACTTAAAAAAAAAGTGGGTGGGTGACCACATAAGAGGACTTCAGTAACCAACAGGCTGAGCAGTGCTATTCACGTCTTTCTGTTGCTAGGCAACGGACGCAACGGAACGGGACAAACATGGTTGGACACGAGACGCGCTGAAATTACAACGCTCAAGGACAAACGTAAGGGCAAACTGATATTTGCCTATGATGAACGACTGTCACTGCTACATATATAACATAATTTTTTTATTGTCACAGGAGCAGCTTGTGATCACATTGTGATATCTTCTGAGGGGAAACAACTCTCTGCTGTCATGCCTTATGCATATGAACAGCTTTATTCAAGACCGTTCATCACACCCGGCTCTAACCTGCCAGAGAATCTCCTGAACCTCGCGTATCCTTCATGCACTACCCATACAACTTCTGCCATGGAGTTTATGAGTGTTTGTGTGCCCAAATGTGTCAAAGGACTACTTTGATTTCATGTTAGATGGCTCTAAATGAAAACGTTTTGAAAAGCGTGATCATCAACCTTGATTCATTTTTCTTGAAGTCACTCCTTTGGCTATGACTGCAGGCGCAGAGCAAACCTGCAGTTGGTGGAAGACAAAACTCTGATCTTTATTGCTGGTCAGATGCTGATCCTGTTTGATGTTAACACCAAACAGCAGCGATACATCCGTAGCAGCAGTGGCGGTGGGATTGGTGCAATCGGGGTAAGAGAAGAGATGTTGTCATCACAGTCATCGGCTGACCGGCAGATTGCTTTCCCAAATTCATCCCAAATCTTACATTGGCCTTGAAGTGCATAAGCAAGACAGAAAATGGATGGAATCGGCCTGTTCAAGTCAACAAGTTTGGAGTGCTGCCAGCAAGTTTTGAAACCTTGAAAATCTTGAGGACACAAATACTTTTTTGTGTTTTTTTTGTGGACCCCTCTGATCTCAATCCCTGCAAAGTGTGTCCGGTATAGACATTGCATTGTTTTGTGTATGTATAGGTACACCCAAGCCAAGAGTACTTTGTTGTGGCAGAGAAAGGAAAAAGGCCTATCCTGATAATATATGAATATCCTTCATTACAAGTATACTGCATTCTCAGAGGTAAACAGAACCAATATTCATCAGTGTTGTATATTTCTCTTCAGTGGTGGTGTTGTGATCACGTGTGTGTGTGTGTGTGTGTGTGTGTGTGTGTGTGTGTGTGTGTATTTAGATGGTGCAGAGCGTGTGTTTAGTTCTGTGAATTTTAACAGTGACGGGAGTCTTCTGGCCACCCTGGCCAGTGCACCCGACTACTTGCTGACCGTGTGGAAGTGGAGGCAGGAGGAGGTGATGCTCAGGTGCAAAGCCATTTCTCAGGAGGTTTTCCGAGTGAGCTTCTCCCCGTACAACCCTGGACTGCTCACATCATCGGGATCTGGACACATCAAGTACCAGACACAATGCTTACGCCTCCTAAAATGCATTTGTTTTTATTGTTGGGAGTCATGATGGAAATATTTCACGTCACGTAATGAGACCAAGTCCCATCTCGTGGTTCGAATGACCGCTGTATGGCGTACCCATGATCTGGTTTGCACTTCTATCGCAGTTTTGTGGAGGCAGGATGGTTATAGTTGCGTTAGCATATTCATATTTGGAAAACCTGCCCATAAATTCACCAAAAAAAAAAAACCCACAGTTTTTTCACTGACCATTTATTATCAAATATGTTCCTTCCCCAGGTTTTGGAGAATGGCCAGCACCTTTACAGGTCTCAAATTGGAAGGACTTATCGGCCATTTTGGGAAAACGGCAGCTACCGATATCGAAGGCTACGTAGAACTTCCCGATGGAAAGGTTTGTGTCCTACATATCTTGAAAGGTGATGCGGCTCACCAAGAATGCAGCGCTTTGACCTGTGTCCACCCCCTCAGGTGGTGTCTGGCTCAAACTGGGGCAACCTGCTGCTATGGGATGGAAATGCTATCAAAGTGGAGATCTGCAGCAAGGGAGGACGCTGTTGTCACGCAGGCGTTGTCCAACCTTTCGCCTTGGAGGATGGACAGCTGATGACGTTCGGCTCCGATGGAGTGATCCGGGTAGAGGAGAAATTACTGTCATAGATGAAAGGCTGCGACGGTGCTCTTGGTTCAATACGACATCGTAACCTCCCTTTGAGCCTGCAGGGCTGGGACTTTGAGACAATCGACAATGCGGACGGTAGCGGTGAAAGCGGCAAATTTGAGATGGAGCCCGTGAATGAGACGACGGTCTGGCGCCATGCGCGTCTCTCCTCAATAGTGAAAAGCTCCCAGTCTGACTCGACTGTTTGGTTTGCTCAGGTCACCCGTCTTCTTTCACAAAAGGACACAAATCGCACCTCGGTGAAAGATTCCAACCTGATCTCTTCTATTTTGTAGGATTCCAATGGAGCTATCTGGAAAGTGGATCTCTCTTTCACATACACCGTAAGGCTCATCCACACAATAATATAATAATAATAAAGCAATGTGTAGCTTGACTTCTGAATTGAACTGAAATTAAACATCCCGTTGAGAGAACAGTTTCGTTACCTGTTGTGGAAGCTATTTCCCAAAAGATGGTTAAATTTGCACACTAAGAGGCACATTAGCAGAAAGGGCACTGCGTGAAATGAGTCTGCCACCTTTACCCAAATTAATCAGTCCTGGGACAAGCAGCTTTGAGGAGCAACCACTGACTTGAATGACTTTAAAACACCATTGAGAAAATAGAAGTTCCGAAGTGTCTGCTCTGCTCTACTAGCGACTCTACAGCAATTGAACATACTTTTTATGATTTTATCAAACCGAAATCTGCAGACTCCTGATCCACAGTGCCTGTTGTCCTCCCATGCCGGACCGATCGAGGCTCTTGATGTGTCAAAGTCAAGTCATCTCATGGCCACCACTGCTCTGGACCGTAAGTCAATTGTTTTTATACGTATAATACCGACACGTGGACACTATTATTGGTATACCAGAAAAATAGGCACTGACAAAAGTAGTCATTTTCATCAAGTGATGAAAATTTGGCATTGCTTTTATCTTGGTGTTCAAACACCATTTTTCTTCAAGTCATGGAATATGAACCAGACTGCGTAGGTCCGCCATAGCTTCAGCTTCCTTTTTATTACAAATAATTTAGTCACACCAAAACTATTTCAGTGACCTGTTGTTTTTTTTGAAAGGGTACCAACAATTGTGTCCATGTCTGAACGTTTTCGAACCACTGACACAACACAGCGGCTGCTCTGTTTTCCTGGACCTTCACCTTTCCAGGTTCAGTCAGAGTCTATGACCTTCTGACAAAAAGAGAACTCGTCAGTAGCAGGTTCAATCAAGGCGGAACCGCTCTTCACTGGGCACCACTTTCGGTAAGTATGGACGTGCGTTACTACGTTATTGACATAAACGTGGCTAATGGAATAAGTAACCCCAGATATTTGTTTTTGTAGGTGAAGTACAGTGGAGGTTTATTGGTGACAGGATTTGAAGATGGGGTGGTTCGTTTACTGGAGCTTTATGACGCCAAAGGGTTGCACAACAACAAAGGGGGTGCCCACATTCGACTCAAGCAAGCTTTCAAGCCGCATAACGGCCCCGTAACTTCTGTTGCATACGACTGCAACGGGAAAATATTAGCCACAGGGGTAAGCGCCTTATTCATAATCATAAAACTAACAAGGCACTTTGAAATTAGAATGAATAATTTGCGAACAACACTCGCAGTGCAGTTCATGAGACCAATTTTAAGTTGTCCGGAGGAATGTTCCCAATGATCAAGCGGAAGCAAAAACTCATGGAGTCACTAAGCTGTTGGGTTTTTTTTTTTCCCTCCCATTTTGTTTCTTCAGTCTTTATTACTCCTCGTTTGATATTCAGCCTCTACTTTTATCCCCAGAGCTCAGATTGCACTGTGTTCTTCTTTACTGTTGGAGAAAAATATGAGCCCATCGGCTTTGTTCATGTTCCCGGACCGGTGCAGTTACTGGAGTGGTCACCTCATTCCCATGTAAGTCTGAAGTATAAATAAAATATATCAACACCTTCTACGATTCTTGCGCCGCATGAAAACCAATGTACCACTTCCCAATCTTGTACAGCAAGAAAACAGGTTGCTGATCCTGTGTCAGAATGCTCATGTTGTCGAGGTACCGTGTCCTGATCAGAATACCCTGAAACCAACCAAATCCTTCCAACTGCTGGACCTGCCCAGAAGGTTCTTCTGCTTCAAGAGCATCAAATCCCAAATCAAGGTTTCGCTTCCTGTTTCTTGGGTTCTCAGTTCACGTTCTTCATTGACAAGATAAACAACCCGACGCATTCTACCAGTTCTTCATGACATTTCAATAATCAACACAACTTGCATATATCTGTGCGTTGTAGAGAGCAGAGGAAATGGCAAGACTTCGAGCTTTAAAGGTGAAGCAAGTGCAAGAAGAGCATCAAGGCGTCGGAGAGGAGGTGCTGGAAGAAGAGTTACCGCCCATTTTCATCCCTAACCCTCGTAGTCCTCTTCTCTGTGGTTTCTACTCACGGCCTGGCCAATTCTGGCTCTCTATGGTACACATACATATCGACACACTGAATGATGAGCAATTAGTTCATGTGGTCCACATCTTTCACCCAACACACGCGCGTTAATAGAAATGAACTCCAATAACAGAATACACGGGTGGCACGGTGGGCGACCGGTTAGCACGTCCGCCTCACAGTCGAGAGATGCAGGGTTCGATTCCAGGCTGACCGGATTAGTGGATGGATGAAGAACAGGATACACTCGTGATCAGTTCTTTTGCGTGGCTGCCTAATTTATATTAATACTTTCATTTCCAGGGAGGGTTTGACTCCGGTTTCCTGTACCATTGTAAGTTCTCTGAGAGTCAGGATGAGAGTCCAGACCAACGTCAAGATGAGCCATTTGACTTCCTGACTGTCCTGAATGCTGACGACGATGCTATTTGTTCGGTCACCTTCAAGTATGATGACGGAAGAAACTCAACTTCAGTGAAAATGCAGCTTTTACTTCATACGGATCGGTTCGGCCTTATGTTTGGTTGTTGTTGTCGTCACAGCTCCAACAGGCAGCTCATGCTCTGCGGCATGCACTCCGGCTCCATCAGGATTTACCCTCTTGATCCGGACGACCACACCATAACCTCCATGCAGGCATTCTGGGAACTAAGCATCCACGACGGCACTTATGGACACCTGCGGCACATCCGCTGCAGCTATGATGATCGGTTTGTTTTGACAGCAGGAGATGACGGGAATATCTTCTCCTTCAACCTGCTTCCTCATAAGGAGCTGCAGAAAGACCTGCAGAGGAACAGGGCCGTGGTTCCTTCTCCAAGGGTTAGTGCATCTCGTTCCACGAAGAAGCCTTCCACTTTTGCAGATGAGCAATGTCATGGAATACCATAGAAAAGTAATACAGAATATTGTGATCCTCCAATTAGGACGGTCTTGAGAATGAGGATTCGGCTCAGGACATCGATGACCCAGCGGCCGACAAGTTGAGTATGAACCGATTGTTCTTGGAAATCACCTTGCCTGGGTGCAATTCCGTATTACCCACAACCTTAACCGTGCACTGCAGTACTTGCGGCCAAAATGCAGTGAGCATTACGTACTGCATCGGGTACATTCAAATGATTCATTTGATCCCAATTAGTCTCTTTGTTCTAGTTCACGTCCTTTGCCAGCTTTTTTTTTTTTGGTTTGTTGTAAAATAATCTCTTTATTTTTCCTCCATTCTCATTGGCTCATTTGTTTGAAATGAAAAATGTTATTTCGTTATTTGAAAAAATAAAAAAATAAATCAATAAAAATCATTGAAGTGATTTGATCCGCCCACCCAGCATAGAGACGGTCCAACAGAAGTTGGAGAAAGACCATCGGTGTCGGGAAGCTGAGAAGAAGAAATCTGACAAGCGGAGGAGGCTTGCTGAGATTCAGAACATTTTCAAAAAATTGCTCAAGGACAACCTTGAACTGCCAGAACATTTCCGGCTGACACTTACGGTACTCACACACACACACACACACACACACACACTGAGTGAGATTTTGACAATGAAAAGGACAAATATGAATTCAAGTAGAGAGCGAGTCCAAGTAAATTGGTTCTTTACCTCTTTGTAGGAGTTGCAGCTGGACGCGTGTTTTGCAGATCAGGCTGAGAAGGAGAAAACCTGGAAATTAAAAGAAGTCCAAAAACAGATGAGCTGGGAAGAACAACACTCCCAGATAGCACTGAAAAAACTACAGGAGTGGTACTGAAAAGTCACGGTGATGGCTTTTATCTCAGTGTTTCAAATGCTTTTCATTTATAAGTTTTATCGCTCAAAAAATGGTAATATAGTACTTATTTTGGAATATTTTGGGATGTGGATGGATTCAACCCAGATGACTAATCGTTTGCCTTGTGAACATGAGAGAGCGAGTCCAAGTAAATTGGTTCTTTACCTCTTTGTAGGAGTTGCAGCTGGACGCGTGTTTTGCAGATCAGGCTGAGAAGGAGAAAACCTGGAAATTAAAAGAAGTCCAAAAACAGATGAGCTGGGAAGAACAACACTCCCAGATAGCACTGAAAAAACTACAGGAGTGGTACTGACCAATCACTACGGTGGTTTTTATCTCAGTGTTTCAAATGCTTTTCATTTCTAAGTTTTATCGCTCAAAAATTGGTAATACGGTACTTATTTTGGGATGTGGATGGCTTCAACCCAGATGACTTATCATTTGCCTTGCGAACATGTTGTTCCTGCAATTTCCTCACGCGCATTTTTAAATGCTGGGATTTTTTTTAAATCACACGCCCGGATGCCAAGACGTACAAGCCGAAGCATTTTGTACACCAACCAAATACACATCTCGTCGATGTTTTGCTTTCAGGTTCAGGGGCTCTCTAGAGTCCAACACAGTCACGGTGTTTGCCATCCGCACTGAGCGCAGCGTATCCACGTACCGGATTCCAGAACTTTCTTCAGCGCGGGCCCAAAAGCAAAGCGGTTACAGCGAGACCGGCGGCCATGAAAAAGCTCCAGACGAACGCCAGGC